TCATTGCATAGTTTTCCGATGGTTTGATAACCTTGGCAAACAGACGGGCCTATTTCCCAACTTTAGCCTTTATAACCAGCATAATTGGTTCACCTTTCTCCAGAAAAACAGCTACAAAATACGGCAAGCACACTGGTTTGGCAATAAGAATGAAGACAACCTATTTGCAAAGACAAGATGTAGAAATACCTCTACATTAGTAGCAAAAGAAATACTAAACTGTTAGGAGAGTTGAAACACTGATATAAATCACTATACTTGTATGTTTTAATATACTAAGTTAACGTGATGGAAATTCAATTAATAGACAAAATAGAAGAGTGGAATACACAGCACTTTAGTATATACAGACTTGATCTTGATCTGAATATTTTGGTAATACAGAAGGATTATTAACACTGCAAAACTTAAATGCAAACAGGTATTTCAGCAGGATTACATTATATAATGTTTGTAAATCAGTGTAGTAGAATACTGCATTCTCCTGTCACTGAAAAGGTAGTGAAATATAATATTAGAATTATTCTGGTATCTGTATGCACATTTTCCAATATGAATGGTATGTCGTAAACGTAACTCATTCTACCACTACATGATTATGTTGAAATAATATAACATGGACATAAATGAAGAGAAATGATGTTGAATTGCTTGCTGTATTGAAATACTATTCAAGAAGATCAGAATTAAAATAGGGACACTTAGTAAATACTGCAGCAATGGTTTTATTCCTTGAAAAGTATCAATTGTATGTGAAAATGAAAACTGCAGATACACTTCAATATTTATCGCACCAGGTACTTCAGTCATGTTGTGGAAAATAGCCATATCGATGGCAGAAATAAGGTATGAAGTTAGCTTGTGTAGTGGATAAATTTATTATATGCTGAGGTGGTGAGGAAAGAAAAAAAATTGAACTCTATAAATCTCCAAATGAAAAAGAAAATATAGGTCTTCATAATGCCTTATCATTCCCATAAACATGTGAACTGGAGGAAAACACTCCACATAATTCAGAAACATTACAATTATCTGGCTGTTTATAGAAAACACGTTAAGATAAGCTGTGAGTGAAACAGTTGTGAATGAGCAAACAGAATTGTCTCAGGATTAGAACAGGCTCTGAAAGATGGGGTCAATTAGTTCAATTCTTGTTCTTGCTAGTAACAGATAATGTTTTCTTGGGCAAGTCATTTAACTCAGTTTTATCTCCTCCATCTGCATAACAGATACGCTGTTATTGGGTCCCTCACTGGAATGTTAAGTGTTTTAATAGTCTTAACATTGAGGTTCTAAGGTTTAGGGCTCTACTAAACACAACTATTTCATTTTGTCAGACGGCAGCACCTCTGAACTTAGACTACAACTAGCTTCCTCTTGCAAATTATTTTTCTTTATAATACTGGGGTGGTAAGTGGTCTGGCTCAAAAATTGCTGAATTCCTGAACCCATGAAACGTTGTCAATTTTATTGACAAAAACAGATGCAAAGGAAGAAAAATGAGGATGAAAGTAAGGTGCTAGAGGCTATGCTGATAACATAGAATTGAGCAGGATGCAGAAACTACAGACTTAACACTAGCTAAGCTGATTATAGAACTAGAACAACCCAGCCAACCTGTCTTGTTATCCAGCCTTCACAGTGTTGTTCACTGGGCACTCTAAGGATTTGCTGTTTCATACCAACTCAGCTGGTGCTACTTTGAGGAATCAAGCTACTTACCATGACATTGGCTTACCCTGTGCAAATTAGCCTGGCAAATACTAGAAGCAAACCTTCAAATTACCAGCCTACTTCTGAAAGGGAAAGAAATTTATTGAAATTTTTTTCTACTAAGAGCTACAAAACATAGACACTCACTATTTGAGTGAGACAACATAGAAATACAGAAAGACGATTTGCCAGACACCCTCTACCGTGACCTCCTTGCAGATCTTAGAGGGGAAAATTTTCCTCTCGGATGAAAAGGAAATCACTCTTTGATATCACGAAAAAGAAAATATCTGAAAGATGTTTAGAAATACCCAGCAAATAATTCAGCTGGTTGATTCCCACTCACTTTTAGGCCTCATTTGGCAAGTACAGTGTATGTCTGGGGACAAGACTGGTCAAGAAAAGCGGACTGGAGCAGGATGTGGGAACGAACAATCATACTCCATGTGTGGGCAGTTTGCCCAGACTCCTCCCCCCTCTGCTTCTCACATACATCCCTTCAAGGAACGGGTATTTCCTGTTTACCCTTTATTTTTCCCCTGGGCATGCAGGGGAAAAGAAAGAAAGGAAGCAGCCATCTTCCAGTGCCAATTGAGTCTGATCCGTGTTGTAGCTCACTATTACAGTGCCCAGGAGGCAGAGATTTTTTCCACAAAAGTGCTCTTTGCTGACAATCGAGAAAGAATTCAGTCTGGAAAGGACAGAACAGATGAAGACCACTGTTTCAGCCAGTCAGCAAAAAGGATACTAGGAAAAAGGGCAGAGATTTCTTGTTTAAAAGGGTTAAGAGGAAAGGTTTGCATATGAAGAAAAATCCAGAAACACAAATCTAAGTTACTGGGTGCCTAAGAGGTACTGATTTCCCTGGTTTGGGAGCAGGACATCATTTGCAGATGCAAATTGTGCTAAGGCTATTGCAGATATTAATACTGGGATGACTAAAGGCCTTGTGTCACCTGGTAGACATTACTCCTCCTGCAACCCCCAAATTTTAAATGGTTCCTTGTGACCTTACAGAGGGATCCTATGACATTTTTCACACTGATGCCAACTTGAACTCACAGACTTAAGGATAGCCAATATCCAGCAAGAATACAGAACATCATTAGGACCTCTGTGGCTGCTCTGGTTGTTAGAATACTTGTCAAAACAAATTCTGCCAAGAAATCCCCTCACACTTAGCAGTTTATAACAGTCCTTAGAGACTTAGGGTAGCTTAATTTGCATTGGGTGGGCTCCCAACACCAGAGGATGGCATAATGACAGAAAACCACACCGAAATTCAAATGCTACATAAAGTTCATTTCCAGTAATAAACATAAATTCAAAAAAATCAACACCATTTAGAAAAATGTAAGCCACTACAGTCTAAGAAAAAGCAGATGTAGTGAAAAGGAGCAAAGTAATTACAACAGAAGGGCCCCATGATGGAGACAAGAAATACAAAGTTAGACTTGAGCATACACTGTATTTTGGAAATGCTGCCATAAAGGCAGAGCATCACCACTCTGAAGTTTCATCTCATGATGATTCTTTCCCCAAACCACAGTCTCTGCTTGGATTTCATCTTCCATTGGAGTGAATGTGGCATTACAGCACATGGTAGAAATTAGCAAGGAACCACTAAAGAGAAAAAGGTACCCCAGCTACAACTATGCTGGTAACAATCTCAAATGTAAACATCCCAGTTTTCTACCAAAGTATTTAGGGTGGTGTTACCTTGGGTTTTTGTTGGTTTGGGTTTTTCTTTTTTCTTTTTTTTTTTTTTTAATTGAAGTCAAAACTGTTGCAGAACCTTTAAAATGGTTTCTTCAGTCAGAAAAGGATTTTTCACCAAAAGCTATGTAAGAAAATCTTAGCAGTTGGCATATTTAAATTAAATAGGGCTCTGAGGGTTGAGATTCTCAACATATGTTTGAGATTTTACATTAAAGCTTAGATATTTGTTGAACTTTCCTCATTCTATTTGTTCACTGATCACTTTGCTTTCTCTTTTTTAAAAGCAACTGTAATTTTACCAGAATATTAACAGTGAGAAAACTGCCAACAGCACTGAACAGAACTTCAGAAAGGAAAAACAGACAAAATACCAGAGAAAAGAGATGCATCAAACTGTGCAATATTATCTTCAGTAAAACTGTGAAACTTACTGTTCTCTTACTTAAAACTAGAAGCACTAGAAAATGTACCTATCCTACAATAACAACATCACAGGGTCATCAGACATAGCTCTTCTCTAATTAGGATTTTCTTTGACCAAAGAGATTAGATGTATTAAGCAAAAGCAGTGCAGCCTAGTATTTGAAAGTACTCTTCAGTTTGAGTCAGTCTACAAAAACCACATGAACATGTGGCTCACGGACAGCACTGCAGGGGCTCACACAGTGCATGACACTGACTTATTGTAAAAGGTAAAGATGGAGGTCTTTAAAGAAGTCACTGAGCTAATGACCACGCTGTTGTGCCCATCACGCCCAACCCAGCGAGGCTGTAGAGAGTAAACATTTTGACTTTCAAACCAAACTGGCTAGAACTTTGTGCACAGGCTGGTCTGAAAGGTCAGGATGTGTTTGCCTCTCCCAGTGGTGTAGACAAGCAGCATTGTGAATAGAGAAGCTGGGCTGTCATCGCACAAGATTTTAGTGGGCTGACCCAGGTGGCCAGTTTACAAAGAACCTTTCCCTGTCACACAAATGTAAAACTAACAGCTCCTGCTCTTCTAAAAGAAAAGTGCTTGGACTAATGACCCCAAATGATTATAAAAGCCAGAGGCATGAAGGCATGGTGGAAGAGCATGGCCCATGCAGGCCATTTTTCCCCCTGATGCCATGTTCCTGAGGGGGCAAAAGGCCTATTGTGACATCCCCAGGTTCAGGAGGTGTGTTGTCAAGGGTGTTGGCATGGAGCAGTGGGCTGCAACACTAGTGTTCTCTGGAGTGTGACCTCACATCCCTGACTGCCCCTGTCTGGGTAGCGGTAGAGCCTGGCTCAGACTCGCTCGCGCCTGGGTTCCTGTCAGGTGTGCCTGGCAGGACTGGAAGCCTGTGAGGTTGTTGGAGTTTGGAAGCTTTTCGGTGTTCACTCCTGAGCTATTGCCCATTTGCCCGGCCCTGCCTAGTTCAGGTAGCCAGGTACTGTAAGGAGTGCTTGCAGTAGCACAGGCAGGCAGTGCGGGAAACTTCCGCTGCCTCACCGGGACAGCAAGGGAGCATCCTGCAGTGTGTCACGGCAGCAAGAGGGAACAGCTCCTGTACTCAGCTCTCCCCAGCCTGTGGTAACAAGCCAACATGGCCGAGGAGACAGATTGGAGCTGTCCCATCTGCCGTGACATTGAAGGAGAGATCGCTTCTGTAATGCCCTGTCTCCACCTGTTCTGCCTGGGCTGCATTGTGCGCTGGGCAAAGAAGAAGCCCTCGTGCCCCCTTTGCAGGCAGACTATCCACACTATCCTCTACTCTATGCGGTCAGAGGAAGACTTTTTAGAAATAGTTCTTCAACGCCCCCCAGATCCAGTGGCTGCTGCCCATGAGGATGAGGAGGCGGCCACGGAGGAGGAGGAGGAGGAGGAGCAAGTGCCTACTTACGTAGCTGGCTTCCCTTCGGACCTCTGGGCAAGATTTTTCCAAGAGTCCTCAGAAATCCTTGAGCCTCTGCTGCCCTGGCTGAACGAAGAGGTGTCAGTGTTGTTCAGTACCCACTGGTGGGAGGAGGCTCTGGCAGAGAGCACCATCATAGCAAATCTGTGCCGCTATGGCCTGAATGAGGAGGTCTTGGTGCGGGAGCTGCAGCCCTTGCTGGAAGAGCACACTGAGACTTTTGTGCGCCAGCTCATTGATGTTGCCGCTGAGAGGTGCAGTGATCAGATCCTGCGGCACATGGGCCTCCTGGACTCCCCCAGTGATGAGGAGCAGGAGGACAGCCCCCCAGGCAGCCCTGGAGCCTCTGCCTCTCGCGAGAGGACTCCCAGCCCCAGCCTGGCCTTCTCCTGTAGCCCAGCAGTTTCCAGTGCGGAGGAGGACACCAGCACGTTGGAAGACACTCTCCGTGGAAGTCCTGGACACTCTCCATCTCCACCTGTCCCTGCAGAGCAGGAGCAGTCCCAGGACGAGGCAGCAGCAGTAGCAGGTCCCTCTGGCCAGGTCTGCACCTCTGCTCCTGGCCAGGACAGGGACTGCTTGCCTGGGGGGTCCCGGCACCCCCGGAAGAGGAGGGCCTCTGGCCCTCAGGACCCTCCCCAGCCCTGCAAGAGGCCATCCCGCCATCAGCAGAAGCCCCCAACCCCTGCTTCAAAAAAAAAGAAATAAAATTTTGTTTCTCTGACTCAGTCTCTAGCTGTCGCTTTCTCTCCCTTCTCCTGGTGTCTTTTCCCTTTCCCCTCATGCCCCACCACAGGTGGCAATCACCTGCTTTTGGGCATGGCCGTGGGTCTCTGGAACCCTGGGGCTACATCCATGGCATCTCCTGCAGGAAATCCTGCTGCAGCTGCACACCCATAGCAGTAGATGCTGAGGGCAGAGTGGGCAGGAGGGTTTACCAGGACAATGCCCTCAGCCTGCAGCCAGTTCCTTCTGCTCTGCTCTGGTTTCTTGACATCATCCAGGGCAACGTCCCTCCTTGGAAGGCTGTCAAGGAGGCACAGAAAATGGGCAGGGGCATCCGAGCCAGAGGCAAGTCTTGGGGTAATAGGATTCAGCAGATGAGAAGGGAAGAAGATGGAGGCTGAATAGGGCTGTGCTGGATGCGAAGATCCAGAAAATCTGGAGCTGCCTAAGGCTCTCAGTCCTTCTCTGCTGGATAGCAGTGGCAAGACCAAGAGGATTCCTTTGGGAAGAGCAGTGCAGAGCTTTCTGTTCTCATCCCCTGCAGACACAGGGGTCAGCTGCTACAAGCAATGGGATGAAGAGATGTTGCCAGGGTTCCCAGTGCTTTGGATCCCCCACTGGTGTCCCACCAGACACAGGAAGGAATCATCTCCAAGGATGCTCAGTTAAGTGCCTGATCCAAGGAGATAAATGATTGGCTGTTTTTTTTAACCTTTTCCTCACAGCAAAGGAGCCAGGACCCTTTAGAGATCCTTAGAAGATCCTGCCCTTCAGAATGACAACAGCCCGGGTACAGGGAGAGGAGGCCAGGTGATAGTTCTGGTGCTGTTCTTAGCACTGAAAGGGGTCAGTGCAGGGAAAGAGCAGAGAAAAGGTATGGTCCAACACAGTCATCCCCTGTCTCTCACCAGAGAGCCCTGAATACTGGGCTTGTTCATCAAAGCTGCAGGAACTCAGCTTTTAGAAGGTTCAGTTCCTACTAAGGATGAACCAAACTCCTGCTCAGCCAGCACTGATTGAAGTTAGGTATTTTTAGGGCTCAAGAAGGTGGGGTTGTTCAAACTCCCGTGCTGTGCCCAGGGCTCAGCACAATATCTCCCTAGGAGATATTCCTGAGCGAATGGTAAAGATGAGGCAGGAAAAGTCTCCTGTTGCTTAAAAATCCCCTTCTCTCACAGCCCGGTTTTAAGTTGTAGCTCACTTGATGGCTTCCCACTACTTTTAGTACAACCAAAGAATGCAGACAATCCTCAGCCACAAGCCTGGTTGGAGTGATCTACAGCCCCTGAAAACTGCAGGCAAACTGTTTTTTTCAGGAGCGCGGCAAGAAGGACAAACCTTCCCGAGTTTGGATGGTGGTCTGTGGGAGAAGGGACTGCAGCTCCATCACAGCACAGATTTTGTCCACATTTTTGACTGCTTTGCCCAAAATTGTGCTTAGTGCTTATTTGTCAATTATCTATCCATTCTCAACTTATTTTGGAGTAGGATGAGAGGAATAGAGGTTTTTAAAGAAGTCAATGCATTCTGCCTTTTTCTTGGAAAAATATCACAAATTAAATTATTTTCCTTTGCTGCACAAATTGCTTCATCTCAGCTGAGTCAAAAAGTATTTACTAATGTACAGGATTCATATCTGATTTTCCATGTGCCCCTGTTCTGCTTACTACAATTTGGACTTGGCTTTCTGACACTCTCAGCAAGATGTTAAGTTTGTTTCAATTGCAAAAAATGCAAATTTTCCATTTGCCTCCTCTAGTCTGAATTTAAGAGACATATAAATAACTTCGAGAGTTTAGGCAGAGTGCCCATTTTTCACTTCTTACTTTATGTTAGGAACACGAGTGGTACAGCCAAAATAATGAAAACCAATGATATTTTCTTGTAAATTATAGTACATAGAAAAATAAAATAATACAGTAAAATGTAATAAAATAAGAAGTGGTAAGACACAAACAACCTACTGTAAATACTTTGGCCACTGCACTCTATACTGTATTTAAATCTAAACATGATTTTAGAGTGAAAATTTTCTTATAATATTGCTAACGTCTTAGGTAGTAGAGTCCTGCTTTCCAGACGTCATGAGGTGAAAAACGTGGAGACCAAAGCAGGAGGATAGACTCTTACCCTGAGAAGTATGGTTTAGAGACTTTGGGCAAAGGGCTTTGATTGTTCCACAATTTGTGCCCTGTTTCTTCATCATTCTCCCTTGCCTGAAAAAAAGCTAGCAAAGCTTAGGACAAATTTTGTCTTTAATCTGCAATTGCCCATGTGACTTTAGAGGAGATATGATTAGTCTAGAATTTTATATACAGAAAGGAAACTACAGCTTTGAAAATGGGAACAATGACTTAAAAGCACAGCTGAGCGTCATGCTGAGACACTTAATGGATGCATGGAATAACAGCAATGAAAGATCTCTGCTACAGATATATCTATGGGAGGGGTACATACATTAAAGTAACTGTTGTGGAAACTTTTACTTAGGAATGTGGAAAAATCTGTTCCACACCACTTAGAAGGAATTGCTATTCCTCCTTAAGAGGAAAGGCAGGTGAGCATCACCTCACTTGCATCCTGGTGTATCATTTCCTAGAGGTATATGTAAGACTATTGACATTAGGCACTGAATTCCAACTTAAGTGTCCTCAGGAGAAAACAATCAGTCACAACTCATGTTACGAAGAAACAACAGGACAAAGAACTTCACCGCCCTGGGAACTCCGCTGCTTTCCAGAAGGAAGGTATAACAAGAACAGTGAGCTCTGCTTCACCTGCACCGAGCAGCCTGTGCCTGCTGGGTCCAGAAGCCAAACAACACTGAGACCTTGGGAACATACTATGGTCACTGATGTCTGCTAATAGTCACTGCTATTGCTACCCATGTTCACTAGATTACCTCGCACATGTTTTGCCATCATTTAACCATGCATTTAGCCCCAGGAGACTGGGCATCCTTTTACAAAGCCAAAGCCTAATCCTGCTTGCTCTGTAGGAACATAATCAGACCAATTTACTTGAGTAAAAGTGTCTCTTTCTTTCACATGCAGAAGTCCTGGAACAGAATGCCTCACATAGCACAAACAGCATTTAAGTTCTCCTACAGAATTATAAAAACTACATCAAGCAATTCTTTTCCCCTTCTGAGGAATGAAAAACAAGTAAAATACCCAAATTCGAAAATGTGCCCCATTAAAGCATGAAGAGAAAGTTTTTGCGCATTTACTACCTACCATCTTCTTACCTTCAAAATATTCATTTACTTTTTTCTTTAGCTCCATTCACCAACTTCAGGTGCTGTGTTAATTGCACTGAAGTTGCTAATGAACACCTACTGCCTTTCCTGAGAAAAGGGGGACAGTATCAAGCTCAGTCTGTTATATCATTCACTACTGTAAGTGTAAAGATGTATATATGTACAGGTGTATGTTCCATTCCTGTACTACTATTCTAATTTATAGGAAGAAATTTACATAATAAAATCCTCCCCCGTTAATTGTACTTGGAAATTTATCACAAAGCTGCAATGTCCAGAGTTCTGCCAGCAATGTAATAATAATCACATATTTGCAAGGCTGCCACAAAACAACACGATTCATAGTTGTCCCCAATGTTCAATATTGCAATGAAAAGCACAAACTGTAGTTCAAATATGTCTTCACTGTGAATGCATTGGGTCATTTACCTTAACAATGTGAACGTGCTCTCATTATTATGTTCAACTTGATTAGTGTGTAGTCTAACATTTAAAAGTGCGCTTCAGAAGAAAGAGGGTATGAATGCATGATTGGTTCCTAATAAATTGAGCAACTCCCTAATGAACTGCGAGGGACCTTTAAGAAACTGATAGACACAGGACAGAGAGACCCATAAGTAGAAAGAAATAGCAAAAGGAAAACGGAGTGCTCTCTCCTATGAAAAAAAGAAATAGACCCTGTCAGCCCACCTTACATTTGCAAAGGTTAAACAGGAATAAGTAGTATCCCTTTCAGCATTAACAGTGACAATAAAAGTAGTGAGAGTAAGGTCTAGTACTGATGCTCTACAGTAGCATCTGCCAGTTACTACAAGGAGAGCCAGCATCTCCTTCAAAAATCGAGAAGATATCACTGGGTAGAGAGGCATAATTTTCCCCATTCTGGGGATGGTCCACTGGACAGGATGCAGGATTAAGTTTAAGAAAATAAGAGTATAGCTTTGGGTAAATCATGACATGTTTCAGTCTTTCTGTCTGTAACTTGAAATTGTTCAAGAATCTCAACTGAAAGCCCTTAGCATCTTATGGTGCTGTCAAATCTTCACCACTGACACTGTTGCAAAGAAAGGGAAAACAGAGAAGAAAATATTTGATGCAAGAGAGAAGCCAACATTGCAGATGATACCCAAAAGAGAAAGAAATATATTTCTTTAGACAAGAAACAACAACTTTCCCTCTGGAGGAAAAATGAATAGAAAGCACAAACTGGATGTTTACACAGCATATTATGGGGACATAAAGCTGGAGAATGGGCTCTGTGTGGTGATGAACCAGCACTAGTAAATCCATCCTTTTCATATTCCAAGCAGTCAAGTCTCTGAGAGTCCAATGGCTTTTTTTTTTTTTTTTTCCATTCAGAAAAAGCCAGGAATAGCTATTCTGCAATAGTTTCCTATGTGAAATCTCTTTTTGTTTAGTCCACTTTGAAGTGAACTAAGTTAGACTGCAGAAAGGTATTCATTTGGGGGAAAAAAAAAAAAGGGGGGAAAAAAGAAAAGTCCATTGTGAAAGGCAGTATAGAAGAGCTATTTCAATTTAAACCCTTTCCTCTTTCACAAAAGCATCCTCTGCCAGGTGAAACCCTCAGTGCTGGTGGAGCCAGGTGAGGATGTTCATGTACAGCATAGTGTAGAGTCCAGCTGTTTCTGAAGAAGTTAGATTAGGTACAACAAGCAGTTAAGATGCAATGGTTAAACCTTCCCAAACCCTTTGCATGATAATA